GCACACACACACACACACACACACACACACGCATGCACAGACACGGACACACAGACATCTGATATTGTATAAGAGCATCTCCCCGTGTTTTACTTCATGCAGATGTGTGGTTTCCCCTCGCAGTGACTCATGATGATGATGATGTGGTAAAACTTGTCATTTCCTCCTAAAACTTTCACATTGTTTTTATGCTAACGACGCCGTGAGGCTCAAACATGGTGACTTAGGTATGGACCTCCTGCGTGAAGAAAATTACACATCTGGATCCTTTTACACCGACTCACGACACATTAATAAAGAAAGATAATAACTCCTCTCCTCTGAGATGAGTTATTATCATCTACAATAACAGTGCACCATCATCATCGTCGCCATCATCACCACAGGAGGTCATGGAGAGGTCGGTGTTTTGGAGCAGACCTTTTAAAATAAGACTGAACAGTTCCTCTGTCACAGCAGCCAAAGCACAAAACAGGACAGACACAAACTATTCTCCTTATTTCATAAAAACTAATAATACAAATCTGAACCTGTGTTATTGTATGTTCATATTTTTTTCTTTATCTGGACTGAAAACCTCAAACTCAACTAAACAAAAGAAAGACATAAAAGATCATAAATGTGGTGCTTCGCTTTGAGCTTTTTGTCATGCATGGAAAAATGCTTATGCTGAATAGAATAGAATAGAATAGAATAGAATAGAATAGAATAGAATAGAATAGAATAATAGAATAGTTTTAAAGCCAGCAGCATCTCTTTCCCTGCTCCTCACTCCACACTGGACCTAAAGAGTTTCTCTTCACAAACTTCCAGACTTCAAACATCCAGACTGGAGGAAAATAACGGGAGCGCTGCTGATGTCACTCAGACCAGCAGCTTTAATGGTTACAGAAACATCTGCTGCTCAGGTCAGAAATATGGTGATATCATTTTGAGGCTATATCGTCCAGCCCGTACTGCCAAAGCACCCCTAAAGGATGCCAGGTCAGACGTGGTTGAATACCTTCTTCAAGTCCAGGAAGCACATGTTTGGCAGATTCTCCTGTCTAGCTCCCTGGTGTAGAGCTTCCCCGTGGAGGCTGAGGATGTTGCACCACACCCTCTGGTCCCCCCTTCCTGAAAAGAGGGACCACCACCCCAGTGTGCCGATCACAGACATTACAGACTGTTGTTAAAAGAAGACCGGATGTTGCAGAATTTTCTTATTGTACCTAAAATGGTACGTTTTCTCAGTTTATGTTTTCTCTGTTCTTCTGCAGGTAAAATAGAAGTTTATTAGATTTGCATTTCCTTCTGTTTGTTTACATTTTACAGCTTTTTGGACTCGGAGGCTGACTGGGGATGAGACACAGATGGAACAAAGGAGGCCAGAGCAGACAACCTAAGAACAGGAAGTAAACCAACATGAGAAAACTGATCTTCAAAGTTTAACAGGAAGAAGCCAAACAACAAAGGAGGAAACGACTAAGAACCACAGAAAGCTTTGATGCTTCTTATTCTTATAGATTTCTGATGTTATTTGTGTAAATGAGTCCAGGAGCTTCAGGAGGACACAATAAGACAAACACAAACTGGAGTTCAGCATCTGTTTAGCTGAACACCAACAAACAGCAACGTGCAGGCTGAACCACATTCAGTGAATCTCACAGAAGAAACGTAATTTATTTTTATCATTCATGAATATCACTTTAAAACAGTTTTTATTGTCAAAAAAGGGGATTTTCAATTTTTTCATCCATTATGAAACCACTTTATCTTCAAAGTTGTGATTCACTGCCTAAGCGGCGTCGGCCATTCGCTGAAAGACCTCCAGAGGAAGGGTAAAGGTATCTCAATGTCCATCTTCTCATCGCTGACTCTAACGTAGGGTGCTGTGCTCTGGGAGACCCTGGTCATTAGAGCCACACTGGCTTCAAGTCCCTCATAGAAGCACACCTGCAAAATACTGATGATCCTGCTGGTCCCATCATTTACTCGCTCCATGCTCAGAGCATTTAAGGCTTTCTGGGTCTTGAGTTTGATGAGGTCTCTGTACTCAGTCGTGCACCTCTGCGCCTCCTCGCCGTGCTGTTCTGAAAACTGCAGAACATCTGCATAAATGGCATCAACTTTAGAGGAAATTTCAGAGTTTTGATCTTGCAGGTAGGCGAGGAAACTCTCAGCTTTTTCAGCAACGACGCGTAAACATCCAGCAGCTGTCAGGTGGAGCACGTTGATCACGCTGATCACACCCTCTCTCAGCTGGTCCAGAATATTCCCCACCTTATCCATGATCTCATCTCCGCTAACAAAAGCATCACTTCCAGGTACGGTGAACCTGATTTTCCTGATGTCTGTAGAGATGTTCTCCACGAGGCCGTTGTTTTTTTGAATGGCACTACGGGCTTCCTGGACCGCTTCCATAAGAGAGAGCTTCCTCTCCGATCCCGGCACCATGAACCGTGTGTCATTCAAAAACTGCAAGGCTGCATCTAGCAGCACATTCATGTTGTTTTCACACTGTTTCATGACATGCTTCACCGTCTCAAACAGCCTGTCTATAGCATCCTGCACAGTCATGGACATCAAGACGTCAGAGGCCTTCCGGTAGTTATCTCGCGCTCCATCAGCAAAGTTTTGGATCCAATCCTGCGGTGTGGTACAAGACACGGGAACCTGATCGTAGGCTCGCTCTATGGCGTAAGAAAGTGTGTTTTTCAGCTTCTTGCTGCCACGGTTGATGTCAAAGCCAAAGTGGGAGGTGTGATACTTGTTAATGCACTTGAACACAGCGTCTGTCATTGCAGGAACTCTGTGCTTGGTGCCTTCCATCACATCCCACAGGAAGTCCCGATTCCACGAAGTCTGCACAAAGAATTTTTGCGAGTTTCTCAGTGAGACTTTTGCAGCGAAGACATCGGTATCCCTCTCTGGAGACGACTGAGAGTGAGGGAAGACGTTGAGAAGAGTATGACTTTAAACAGAGCATCAAACAGTCTGGAAAGCTGCACTCACAGTAACAATAATATGAAATAAAAGAGTCTAAGATGTAATACCAGGTATCGACTGAACAGCTTCCCATACAACTGTGATGGAGACCTCCTCTGTAAATGCACTCCAAGGAAACCAGATGATGGCGAAGACACGGATGCAGTGATGCCATCTTTGCGGGAAGCAAAGCGGAAGCTCACATCTGTGAACGTTCGACTGCTGATGTCAACGCTAAGAGTGTGACGAGGCTCCCTTTAAAACAGACACACCGTTAGTACAGATATGCTCCAGATCATATGTGATAAACACCTGACAGAGAACTATGGAGAGATGTGAAACATCAGCATCTGCATGAAATAAACTCACAGTGACTCAGCTGCTGAGACTCGGCGCTTCATTCTGAAAGAAAACGAGCGATCGAGGGTTTAATTCCAAACTTTGAATGTTTATCGGATGGGATCTGAGACAGTTCATCACAGCTTCTGATGCACTTTAGTGGTGTGCATGAAATGTTTACCAGTGTACAGAAATGGGGAAACTTATTTAAAGTTAAACCAGTGTTTCCAGTCGACTCTAGAATGCAGCGTTTGTTTAACTTACCGGACATTTTGTGCCAAAACATGTTGCCAGTTGACATTTCCATCAGTGTGAATCAATTTTCCCTTCCCAGTTAAACTCATTGCCCCATTATGATATACGATGGTTGCATCAGCTGGGGAAACATGGGCAAGATTAGGTTTTATATTGCCTTACATGCAGCAATGCTTACAAATGTGTGGTATCAGGTAAAGTGGCGTATGTTTTAGTCTTACCAGAGAGGTCGTATTCCAAGAAGTTCATGGTAGAAACACATCTGGATTTCAGTGAAGTTAATAGGTCAGAGTCCTTTTTCTCGACACTGGCAGTTGTCGACACACTATAAATGGGAGATGAAACCTTCACAGAGACGCTGAGAGCACCAAAAGATGGGATAAACACACTTGAAGGCAGATGGAGGGTCGTTGCAGGGATTTCGATTCTTTGCTCTGGAATGGTGATGGCTGGAAGGTCAAAGTTGGAAATCTGGCGTGTGATGTAATTTAGGCTGATGGTTTGCCCCCCGATGGTCACTGATTTTGGTAGAGTAAAAGGTAAGACTGTGATTTCATATTGTGGTATCTTAAATGAAAGGAATGATGTTTTTCCCTGCAGGTACTCTGTGTTAATGTCATAACCAGGCACTGACAGTACTGGCAGGCCAGGCAGCATGATTTCAAAGGCCTCGGTGCTGATCACCCTCGGGACACTGAGGTTCTTAGGATCGAGTGTGAAGGCCTCCACATGCAGTGTCGTGAATGGTACATTAAAGGCAGGAAGTGAGATCACAGGGGGAAGTGTGAGATGATCCGGGACGTCGGGGTTTTCCAGACGCTCGTCTATGTTCCTTATGGAGCTTGGAATTCCTTTGAGCCATGAAGGCACTGCAATGCTGATCTGAGGGACGCTAAAACTGACACCATTTTCCAAAAGGGTAAACGGTATTGCATATCCATGGCCATCCATGCTCTTTGTGTACACAATACTAGTAGAGACATTGAGGAATTGTAATTTATTCATACTGGTGTCCTGATCAAACCTGAGCACATCCCAGAGGGTATTCTGATAAATAGGAATCTTAACTGTCTTCAAAAAAGCGAGGGGACCTTCTACTGATCCAGCCAAATTCAAGTGCACTGCTGATTCATCATTGGACAGCAGTAAAAGATGAGCATGGACGAAAGACGCAAGCTGTTCCTTAACTCTCCAGGTGAGAGACTGCTTCTCTGAGCTGACGGCCAGGTTAATGCTCTGAATGAGTCGAGCATCACCCAAACTGCTCGGCTGGCTCGCTTCGATGTTCAGTTTGGTCTTGAAGGTCGTTAAAGGAATAAAGTCCAGTTCTCCTTTAGTGACATGTTTTCCATTTGTTGTGAAAAAGGCCAAATCGACATTGTTGGTGCTCGTGCATTCAGCCGTTGCAAAAATTCGCTGCAAGGAAACTGCCAGAGCTAACTCCTTATTCAAGTCAAACAGGAAGATGTTGTTGGAGTTTCGTTTTTGTTTCTCCTGTTTGTCGAGGTTTGAGTTTAAGACAGTCTTGACAGTTGAACGCAGGCTGTTGGCAGTGAAGTAGAAACTGGCTTTATTCTCCAGATCTCCAGAAAAGATACAGCCGTTCACCATCATAATGTCTGTCTTCCCCTGGGTGCAGGTCTCCAGAGACACATAAGAAGGAAGCGCTTCCAGTTCCCAGTTCATGTCACAGTTTCCTGCAGCCTCAATCAGAGGAATGCTAAAAATGTACTTTAACTTTTTCTTGGATGTGAGATTTGGCTTTGTTTTGGTGTTTCCGATGAGCTCCTGATTCAGCTCCAGGTTGAGGAAGGGTAGCTTGACCTTTGCAGTGTTGGTTAAAGAAGCTTCCATGCCCCTTTTGTTGAGGTTGACAGCACATTCGTGGTTTGCATTGATGTTGTCGTGCTCCAGGGAAACAGCTGAGGCCACTTTTATTCCTCTCGTCCTCGTCAAGCTGGCGGTGCCGTCGATTTTTATGTTCAAAATGTCAAACGCTGACGTTGAAGAGGTGCCAAAACGAGCAACAATGTCAGACTGATTGTAAAGGCCTGCGCTGGCAATGAACGAAATCACAGCGGATTTGAAGGAGAAATCAAATGTCATGTTACCCATAGCTGGGATCGCTATGTTGTTCTGCATGGGTGGCAGTCTAAAAGTGGGCAAGGTTACTTCACTTAACGTTTCTGGAACATGAATGACAGCAAACGTTAATAATGGCAGCACAAGAGTATAGGACGGCACAGAGAACCCCAGAGCTGGGACTTTAAAGCTTGGGGTCCTGACCTCTTTGGGAATGAAATAGCTAAAGGCCGGCATCTCGGCACTGAAAGGTGAAACCTGTATATCCAGGATTGGTATTTTATATCCGGGGACTCTGAAGATGCTAGGTGGCAGGCTAGATGTGTCAGTTCTGTGTTTGATGTACTGTGGCCTTGCTTGGTCGTATGAATCTTTTAAAAATGCAACCACTTTGTCCCAAAACTCTTCAAACTGAGCCTGGAGGACGGTGGCTTTGTCGCTGATTGCACCGTAGATCGGTTTAAGGTACAGTTCAAAGCTGTGGGTGTCAGGGTTCTTGTAATAGTGAAGCTTCAAGTTCATGTCAAATGATTGCTGAGGTGTGGTGAGCAAAGTTTGGAATCCAGCATTTTCCCACAGCGGAAATTCTCTGACTTCAGGGGTTTTAATATGGAAATAAGGTATGCTCATCTCTGGGATAGAGAGCGGAATCGTCAAAAATTCCAGGTTAGCCTCTCCGTTTGCGGAAGAGTGGAAGAAGATGTCCATATCATTGTTTTCTGCGGTGATGTTGTGACTGTACTTGTACTGATTGAACCTTGCCAAAGCAAAGCAGGACGCGTGCTGTTTCACAGAGTTTAATGCAACACCACAGTCATGCTGCAGAGCTACCTTTCCAGTCAGTCTCAGGGGAAAGAAAACCTTCGAGTTTACTTTATTCTTAACATCGAAGGCCACCTCAAATGGATGGATTGTGAACTCCAGCGAGTTGGACATGGATCCAGTCAGTTTTCCATTGAATTCAACATCGTGATAGGCTGCGAGCGCAACCTTCAGGTCCCCGATATCAGCCACTCCATCCAAAACCAAAACACTCTTCTTCACAGATGAAGTTTCAGTTTCACATTTTGCATCAATACTAATCCGATTTAAGAGCACTGATTCAGCTCTTAGCGTGTGCTTGGCTTTTAAGGCCTCACAGTCAGTTTCTCCAACAAATGTTAACTTTGCAGTGCTGAAATTTACATCAAACTCCATGTTGCTTTTGTGAGTACCTTCATCAGCGTAGTCATAAACCGACCACTTTCCATTTCCTGTAGTCTCTCCAGTCACAGTGACTCTGCCAGATTCTGCAGAGGCTGCTATATTTTGTCTCACTGATGCCTGACTTGAAGTTTCATGTGACGGGATATTCAAGCTGTGGTTGTAGGCTGTGGCTACGGCTGCATGGACTCCACTCTTTAAAGTAAGGTCCATTTTACTGACCAACTCTGCAGTGTACATTTGGGTTGCGGCTCTGGCGACAGTCTTGGCAGAAGCCTCAGCAGCGGTGCCGGTGAGTGTCAGGGATCCTTCGTGGTCAATGGCAAAGGCCATGTGTGCAGCCTTCAGTGTTTCTGTGAACTGCAGCTTCTTCATTCTGGGAGCGTCAAGCTGAGCCGTGACTTCAAACGTGTACTCCAGCGGCTTGAAGCGCGACTTGGCATGAGACGCAACGATGGCTGTAAACTGTGGGTTTTTTGGTGTGGATGTTGAGTTTTCAATTTTTCCTGTTGTAATGAGAGTCAGGTCTTCCGAGTACACCCTAAATTCTCCATGGAGTTTTCCAAAACGTGGGACACAAATGTCACTGGGAATCCTGGGATAAGTTATCTCTGGAACTGGGCGTGGTAAGACGTCAAAGCCTCTCCACTGCAACTTGGGAATGTTGATTGCTGGAAATGTTATTTCCGATAGAGTTATTCCTGTGAAGGTGAGATCGGGTAGTTCAGACAGGTAGAGAACTTTCAGATCACCAAAGATTTCCTCTGGGTCAGGTGTTTGGATCTCAAAGTCTCTGATTTCATCTATCAGAGCAATGATCCTAGCTTTGATCTCATCGACATCTATCGTGAAGCCAGGGATGGTGTACAAGTTGAGGATGGTGAACGGAGGGAGTGAAATTTGAGCTGGGATGCTAATGTCCTGCAGATTCTTCATGTCAACTGTAAATCTTCGAATAACAAGATCAGTGAGAGGTACTGTAAAAGTAGGAACTTCAATCTTACCTCTTTTCAGTAAGCTCAGAAATTCATCTACAGCCTGCTTCGTCTGGTCAATGAACTCATTGTCCTTTGCTGTTTTTACAATCTGATCCATCACTTGGTTAAAGTTTGCAGACATTAATTCAACAATATTTCTGTAGGAATCACTCGCTCTTTCGAGGAATAAATACAGTTCGCCTCTGATGTCCATGTCAACAATTCTCTCCCTTGCATCCTCAAGGATATCCTGCACCTTCAGTTTGATGTCGTTGTAAAATGTAGTATCGATCACATTTTTCAGTCTTTTTAGAGCATCAGCCACTTTTGTGTTTTTTAGCTCATCCAAATACGTAAAAATGGAAGTTTGGATCTCTCTGAAAAAGTCCCTAACAGCCTCAATTTTTTTCACCAGCTCATATATTTTAATCTGCTCGTTGATGTAGTTTGTTAGTTCAGCAATCTTCTTGTTAGCGTCATCAACAAAGGCATCGTACCAAAATGTCCTCATTGATTTAAGAGTCGAAGAAATATATTCATTAAGGTCATCGATGCTCTTCTTAAAGTCGATCGCTCTGAGCTGATTTGTCACACTGGACAGAAATTGCATTATTTTATCATAAGAATATTCAAATTTGATAGACTTCAAAGCTTCTACCAGTGACTGCACAGTCTTTTCAATTTTAAACTGCTTGACCAGAATCACCACCTGATCCATCAGCTGTTTGAATATATCATCGAGGTCGTATTTTAAAACAAGATCCCTGATGTAGAAATACACTTCATTGATTTTGTTGGGGATTTCATATTCATCAATCCAGTTGACGATAACATCATGGACAGACTCCATGACTTTTGCTATCTCTGAAGGGGGGATATTATAAGATAACTGCTCAACATGCGCAGCCCAGTCAACTGAAAGGAGATACTCCTTCAGATCCTCAAAACTCGACTTGATGTTAAAATCCTCAATGACTCGTTTCAGTTCTGATAGTTTGGTTTTAATCGTCTCCAAGATTTCATATTTGGAGTCTAGCTCCTGGAGAAACAGAGCACCGGTTATCCGGAGTTTCTGGAAATCGATCTGTTTCATAATGTCTTCGATGATATCAAGAATTCTGAGAAATGACCGCTTAATTTTATATTGGTCATCGAAGGCCCACGTGTGATTTCCGACATCAGAAAGAACATTTGTTATCTGGACTTCAAGACGTCCACCCTTGATGTACTCTTCAACGGAAAAAACGAGCTTTTGAATTTTGGTGATGATGTCCGTTACTGTGGTTTCTAAATTCTTCCTCAGATTCTTCACAGCAAGCTCCAAGTCATTCATCGTGACAGCGGAGGCACCGATCCAATCGTCGAGTTTCACTTTCACTTGATTTACTTTGTTCTCCAAGTCTAGCTCTTGCATGAAGTTACTCACTTGTGTCGGCAGCCGTTCTAGCTTTTCTCTAAAGTTGCTGATGAGCCCGTCGATATCTACATCACGGATGACCTGCTGCAGTGACTCTAAGGTTTGAATCAGTGTGTTTTTGAGCTGCTGAAAAGCTGCAGGAAAGCTCTCGATGAGTGGAATCTCGATGATATGACAGTCACTGTTCTTATCATACTGCAGGAAACCAGACATGTTGAATTTTGCATTTTCTTGTAAATCTTCTAACATTATTGCTGAAAACTCCAATTCAGCTTTCTCTGGATTGTTGGAAATACTGGTCGCCTGGTTGTAAGCACGGTCGTTCAGTTTAGACTTTACTTCCCAAGATAATAATTGATCGCTTGGAGTCAGGAAACCTTCAAATATGTTCTTTACACCAGCAGAGGATTCCCCACTTGGAAGCTTATGAGCTGTTGATATGCCGCTTTTATGTGCAAATGAAAGAGCTAGGGGCTCAGCTTTCAGCAGCAGCTGGCTGTACGTGTCTCCGGTGTGCTGCCCATGTAGATTAATTTCTCCCGCCGCGTTGAAACCAGCATCCACAGTGAGGCGAAAAGGCAGCGCCATGGTGCGAACGCTGCTGTTAAACCGCACAGGTGCAGAGTCTACCTGCGCCTCACAGTCTGATGTTAAAGACAGTCCAGCAAATTCCAGTTCACAGCTGTGAGTGAGCTGGGCATCCATCACGTTTCCAGATGTGCTGTATTTCATGGTGCCAGCCACAGGTGAGTCATAGGTGAGTTCATAGGTATGTTTGACGCTGTGTTGCTCTCTGTGAGCTGCAGTCATGCTTCCATGGAGATCCACCTTAACTGGCTCGAGCCTTACGTGACCCTCGTGGCTCAAAGCGACGTCATAAAACCGGAGGTCATTTCTCATATTGAATCGCGTAAAAAATGGCTTCACATCGAGCTTGGTGTCTTGCTTGTAGTAAATATCGTCACAGATGAAGTTGTTTGACTCGGAGCGGAGGCTGAGGGTCCACAGGGTGAGGGTGAGTTTGTGGCTGTTTTCTGTTTTCATCTGTCTGAGTGTTCCCTTTGTGTTTCCGGTAAAACTCAGAGCTCTTCTGTCCAGCATCATTTTCACGCTGCTTAATGTCGTTGCGTCGTACGCATATCCCTTCAGGTCACCGTACAGAGAGGCTTTAGCAGCTGTGACTTCACCCTCAATTTTCAGCTCCCCTCTGCTCTCGTCACCCATCGCTTTGGTAGAGGAGGACAGGGATGCTCCACTGTTGTCTATCGCACAGTTGAAAATGTTCTCCACTGTCACAGGACTGCACTGTATGCTGTTTGTGCCACTTGCTGTCAGACCATTTTTTCCAGCTGTTACAGAAGCCTTATGCCAGACACGCCCTGTTTCTAAGGTGAGGGAACCCTCAGAGTTTACCTGAAGCCCATTTGAATCCAGAGATCCTGATATCAGGGAGTATACCCTGTTTTTGTCGTCATATGCCTGTGATTCAATTGTGAGAAGGGCCATTTGGTTGGACACTCCAAACTCAACTTGGTTACTTAGTGATTCCCCCATGGCTTTGGCCAAGGCGCTGCACTTCAGGGTCAGCTGCGCATCCTTATATCTGAGTTCTGCCACATGCTGGAGCATGTCCCTCTGAGCGCTCGTTTGGGACATGATGTATAACTCTGAGTTTTTGCAGACTCCACGGACTGTGTTGTGAACTTGTAGGACTGGTGAGTCAAACTTCAGAGTGGATTCTCCTCGTCCTTCTCGATCTAGTGGGCGTAGGTTGTAGCTGTGAAGGTAGGAAGCGTTGGTGTGGAATGAGCCAATTTTGAGGAGTCCGTTGACGGTGCCATCTCCTGAGACTTCGTCTGAATTTAGGGAGGAAGTCGCATGAGCAGAGTAGTAGAGGGTGGCTTGCAAGCCTAAAGCACTAGAAGCTTCCATCTTGTAATTGGCTCTTGCCTTGAGTTTGTCCGTCACCCTTAATGTTTCTAAGACGCTGACGCTTGTGTCGATGAGGCTATGGCTGAAGGAGCTATTCAGAAGATACTTGAGATTATCATCGCCTCTTCCCGACATCATCCCGGTGCCTTAAAACAGACACAAATGATACTATATTAGTATGCAAACATGGAAGCATGACGTTTTACCTGCTGTAAGACAAAATGTTGGTAAGTGAAGACTCTTCTCACTGCACCATCAGGGCTTTCCAGGCACTGATTGAGAGGTGTTGATCTTACTGTTGCTGCACTTGCAGTTTGTTTTGGACCACAACCCAAATGTGCACTAATCAGTACTGTTCCTGACCATGGCTGAACCAGTAACAGGAAATGAATCTGCAGAAATATCACAGTACATGGAAGTTTTCAGAGGACCCCACTGGTCCGATCTCTTTTTGCCGTAAAACCAACATAGAGTCTGACTCGAACTGATCTTAACAAAGACCAACTTAACAGTAATATGACGCGCCGGCTGACAGGTGCATGAGCCTACCACATGTGCTGATTTAAATACTTCATGAGCGCAGAGCTCATTGTTAGCCAGCCTCAATCTTATCCTGTCAGATTTCATAGAGTCTTAAGTGACTTGACAGAAGAATAACTTTTTACCTTCAAGCTTGTATGACAACAGGCTGAAAGGTGACTGGGCCGTGGCCCTGAACTGTGCAGTGTAGCTGGGGACATCGGCGGTGTTGTTGCCCCCAGAGATCGAGCCTTCCCAGCTGTAGAAGTTGCTGCTGATCTTTGTGGATGCTGCAGCCAGACCGAGAAGGGGGAGAGACAAATCCAGAGACGGTGGTATGGTGAACCGTGGGAGCTGATAGGCCCTGGGTGGGATGTACAGACCTATCTGTGGTAAATCTATGAGGGGCACTGACAGGGAGTTTGGTACGTTCAGCTCTTCGGACTTTTTGCCTCCAAGTGGAAGAGGAAGTGAGATGGCCATCTTGTCCTTGTTGAACTGGTACCGTAACAAAGTGTCGCTGTTGAGGTAAAATGAAAGGTGAACACTGAAGCGCTGCAGAACAGGTGGAGCCTATTCATATCTGGAGGCTGATTTTTTAAACACTTACGACTGCAGGAACAGTTTTTCTGGCAGAGCTGGCAGAGCAAGATCAGAGAGGCTTCTCTTACTTCGCAGTTTTGCCAGAGTGGGGATGTGCGCCGTCAGTTTGTCCAGCCATATGTTACCCGCCTTCAAAGTGAAACAAAGACCTGTTAGATCTCACTGTAAAGCTGTAAAACTGCCTGTAAAAGCTGCGTAACACTCTGAACACGATGTTTTATGACACCTCGATTCCTTTTGTGATGATGTGACGCAGTTTCATGTCTGTCTTCGCCACCCTCTGGTCCAGGATCTCATCAACGAGCTGTTGAAGCTGCCTGCGATGAGCCTCCACATTAGGGATCATTTTCTGCGTCTCTGAATTCAGGTCGGATTTCAGTTCCACCTCAAACTTGTCATTATCTGCAGAGAAAATCCAGAAAACCCTCAAATGACTGAATCCATGCAGCTGTCCCCTGTATTGATGAGAGGAGGCACAGTTACCGTATTTTAGGGAAGCTTTTTGCTGGTATGATATCTCAGAGAGGTGCATGATGGTCTCCAGGTCCATGACCACATCTTCATCCTTCTTTAGGTTTGCAGTGAGAGATGCATCGGCTTTCAGAGAAGGAACGACCATCTGGAGTTGCAGCATGCCATCATTCATCATGCTAAGCCTGCATTTAAAACAAAGACGTGTACTGTCGGCTTCCCATCCACTCAGCACAACCGAAACCTCATAAAGGACCCAAGACTTGTTTAATGAACTCTGTACCTGGCACGTCCAACAAGCGTCAGCTGTGGGATGTTCTTGTTGGTGATATCGATGGTGATGCCCCTCATCTTCCTCTCAGCACCGCTCTCAGTGAAAACCAGTTTGACTCCTGCTTCCACGTCATAGTCAGGAATGACGACCTCAGCAGAGACGGTGTTTTTTAAGCGATTGTATTTCAGAGCTGCTGAGGCCTCCGATGAATCGTCGCCTGTTAAGATAAAAATTAAAGCAATTAGCCGGCTGTTAGCTGCAGGGAGCAACAGGTGGACTTTTATCCAGTATGCACAGGAAAAGAATACACGCGTCGGCAAAAATGTGCTTCATTTTTATGAATTCTTTCACTGAAGGGACCATTACACCCCAAAGACACTCCAAAATCCCTGACAACAGTTTAAAGAAAACAAGGATTTATATAATGTGTACTTTATTGATCCCCGTAGGGAAATCCTCTCTGCATTTAACCCATTCACTGTGTGAAGCAGTGGGCAGCCACCAATGCAGCGCCCGGCGAGCAGCGTACAGGGAGAAGGGTACCTCACGGTAGCTGTTCAGTGGATTTGAACCCCTGACCTTCTGATCATGGGCGACCACTCCTACTGAGCTGTCCCTGCCCAGATATAAAATATGATGAAGACAGATATGAGCCAAAGTAAACACAGCACCCTCTGTTTTGTGAGAACGACTCATATTTGTTCATGATGCTGGGAGAGCTGGGAGAGCATGATGGTTTAACCTTCTCAGTCTTATGAACTGAGCTTGCACACAAACACGTCCAGACATCATATTTAATAGCGTTACCTTCTGCCTTCAGGATTAATTTCAGCGTTTCCACCTTATGGCGCCCTCGTTTGCCCTCTCTGACCGTTTCATCTGCGATGGTGGCGGTGTACTCTGAAACTGTTCCTGTTGGCTGGATTTCAACTGCAAACCTGAAAGAACAAACTGTCATTAATCCAGGATTTGTTAGCTGTGTGGTAAAAAGCAGCAATAGATGTCAAAGTCAAATCACAAAGGATCAACTCAGATGAGCTGATCGACCTTCTTACCTGGTTTCTCCGGTTAGAGGGGAACATGGTGCCTGATCCACAGAGGTAGGATTGGAGTAACGCACTGCTGTGCAGAGCTTCAGACCACTGAGCAGAGGCTGGCAATCGACTGAGTCGGCCCGGTCTCCCACCTTGCATGGCCCCATCGTTGTTTGACCAGATGACAGAGACAGCACCTTGGTGCTGCATTTCAGAAAGAACGTGGAGTGAGGTGAGTGAGAACAACACAACTCAAACAGAGAAAGACTGTGGGTCACTGACCTCACGCTGAACAGCTGAGTGTTCGACTGAGGAGCAGGGATGGACAGCTTGACCTGCCTTCGGTTAACTGTAGCTTTAGCATTAAGGGAACTTTCATGGTACATGTTGGTGTGCGTCTGAATCCCGGCGTCCACGTAGTCTGGAATGTGCACACCCATCTGGGTGATGAACTCCAGTCCAACCGAAGGCATGAAGGACAACTCAGTCTGCAGAGACACAGAGCAGCTGTAACACAGGGATTCATGACTTGTTTCTGCTTTCTTTCTTTTTTCCTTTTTAGTTTATAAGAATAATTTTATTTATTTATTTATTTTTCCATAGCATTACATTTGAATTTAACAGTTCAATCTTTCAAATAACGGACAAATATTTGTGAAATTATGATGCATTTGTGAATGAATTTTAACAATCTAAACAGACAAATACATTTAAAAAAAAACAAGAAAATTGTGTTTTATTACATTTACAGTGATTTTACGTTAATCTACATTTGAAATGTGAAATCAGTCTATTTATGTAAATGTAATGATATTCTAGAAGAACAGTACAAAACTGTAAAATACTTTTATATTACAATTTTTTCACCTGATTGAACTGTTAAATTCAAATTTAATGCTGTGGAAAAATATATAAAATGATTCTTATAAACTTTTTTTACATCAAATAATTATTATTATTATTGCTATTTAGAGCGATTGTGGCTCAAGAGTTGGCAGTTCGCCTTGTAATTGGAAGGTTGCCGGTTCGAGCCCCGGCTTGGACACTCTCGGTCATTGTGTCCTTGGGCAAGACACTTCACCCGTTGCCTACTGGTGATGGTCAGAGGGGCCGATGGTGCGATATGGCAGCCTCGCCTCTGTCCCAGGGCACGCAATCCATTATTATCTAAACTAACTGTATATTTAAGTATTATTATTCCTATTGCCACATTCATTGACCTTGTTTATAGGTAATTGTTTAATCACATTAAAATGTTCCTAATTTAATGTTTAAAAGCACTAAAGGCAAAATCCCATGTAAAATTAGGGCAACAAACTGTAGTGTCATTACTGAAAATAACCATATTTTTATGAGAAAGTTATTTTCTGGTATTATTTTGGGCCCCAGCTGCCGGAATAGTACTGTTTTAACTTTATACTTCATAAAAGGAACCAAGCCTGGGGACCCTGAAGAAAAATGTCATTTCTCTTCCAGCTTTTTCACAACCTTAACTCCGGAGCTTCCTTCATGCATGGGAATAACATGGAGAGTTAAAACCCAAGCAGCGAGCTAAACAGGCACCGATAACTACAAATATGAAAGGAACAGACCAAAGAACATTATTAAACTTGGACAATAGCAAATAAAACTGTCTGACAATTCAGAAAGTTATGATCAGGAACATATCCAGAAAAAAAATTAAACAAGTAAATATTGTAAATCTTGTATTTAAAGATGTATTATATATTATATCTTGTTGTCCATATACCTTTGGAATAATGTTTCTATACCAGTGTTTTGCATCCGATGCAGCAGCTCTATATCCTACAGGTTGCAAGTTGTATTTGTTTTTTGTTTTTTGGCCTGTCTGGGATTCATGACTTGTAATGTGATGAAGAGCAGCAACATACCGCTGCCGAGGGCGTCAGGCCTCCTCTGACACCTGGTGCAAACACACCAGCTAGTGAGAACTTGAGAGGGAAGCCAGATGTGGTGGGTAGAGCAAAGGCATTCTCCATGAAGATGTAGTGGGCAAAGACTTCATTGTCAGTCCTGGATATGAGCTCAGAGAACACCTTTTGGAAAGAAAACAGGAGAAAACAAACATGATGGGAGAGTCCACTATCACATCTGGATCCTCTAAAAGCACCACAAAGGTTGCTCCAGAGTAGTTTTTAGATCCTAAACCTAAGCAGCAAATAAAATTAAAAAGTGAAACAAAACTAATGAACTAAATCATCTGTGATCCTCTCCTGATGTTATGAACTGTTTCGTTCTAATGTCGCCATGCTGGCTGCATCGAGGCACCGATGCACACTGGAGCTGTGTGCCACTTCCTGCCACGATCAACACACCAAACGGTCAGGAGACAGAATATCCCACCTGGGCAGGTAGTACCCTGATGAAGACGTGGTAGTACATGAACAGAGTCTCAAACATTTTCCTCATCTCGCCGGTCTTCAGATATCCAATCTCATTCCCCAAAAGTCTGAGGTAGGCGGCGGCTTCAGGCGCTGGAGAGGAGCTCACATCATTCACAAGTTTCTGGATTCTGTCCGCCATGTCTTTCAGAAAGTCTTCTGGGATCTGAGAGCACAGGACAATCTGTGTTTCAGCATGTGACATAGCATTTGCTCATGTGGTAGCTCCGTGTACATGGAGAACCTCTCACCTGTCTCTTCCTTCTGTCTCGTTGGGGTGCTATTCTGTCCAAAATGGCTTTGAGCATTGGGGCTTTGTCCTGCGCCAAGTACATCAGTCTGGAAATGGATTCAGGGAGCAAACCTCTCTCCCCAAAAAGAGCATCGATCGTTGGTTCGAATCCCGTTCCTTCAACGCCGACCTTAAAAAGGAGATTTTAAATGTTTGGACCTCGACAGAAAACTGATTTTTGTACTGCAGATTCATGTCATTCAATACCTCGAAGATGTCGTAGCTGTAGTCAAACACCTTCAGCGTGGTCTCCAGCATCATCTCCTTGGGTAAGGTGTCGCTTCCATCAAAGATGATGTTGCTCTGGATTGATCCCAAGGAGGAGTCCAGCTTGTAGTTGCGGGACATGCCATCAAAGATGGCGCCTGTGGGTGACGGCTGGCCATTCAGGGCCGACTCAGTGTACTCCCTGAGTCTTTGGAAAGGACAATAAATGATATTTAATAGTGTTTATTAATATAATGCAGAATCAGCAGCACTTTTGTTTTTTCAGTCATGATCAGTCGTGTACAGATCCCCGGCCGGTGCCCTCCTCTTGCTACGGTGGCATCTATCAGCCCAGAGTAATCACAGATACAGACTGTACATGAGACATCTAGTGGTGAGGTGAAGAAGTGCATGTACAATCAATGTGATTGTATTTTCAAACAAAGCTTCTTTCTCTGCTTTAACTTAAGTCCCTCAGCTGTGAAAGCCTAACGAGGGCTTTAACGAGGTACAGAGCAGGGAAGCCTGGATGGATGGTTCCTGTCCTTTCTCCACTTTGCACTCTGATATTTGGACCGATACCATCTTTGCTCATTACACATGTCAGTCTCAGCTTCTGTTTATTTCTTATTTTTAAAGTCTGCTGCAGTACTGTTATTCAGAAAACTTCAGTTTATTTTTTACTTTACTTTGATTTCAACCAGCTAAAGATGTGGCTGCTCAGCGAGTTTCTGACTTTCTCTGTCTGTAGTGTTGGTACTTAGTCCATTTAATGTCATCACATAATAACATAAATGTGTGAATGTGCTGGAAACACGAATAACATAGGAGGATGCGTTCAACGTGCAGGTAATATTCTTCCAATCTGAGATTGTTTATAACAGGAGGATGTAACCACCGCAGTGTCGAACAGGCCGCAGGGTTTCTATCATTGCACTGTAACCATCATCATCCACGTCACGTCTTTGCCCTCAGAGTCAAACACACTTTGAAGTCTTGATGTTTAAAAACCTCGAGTGAACATTCTGGATGTTTCAATCGAACCAACCTGACATAAAACCCAGACAGCAGACGCTCAGGTGCTAGTAACAAAGTAGCCCCGCCCTAAATCGTTTCCAAAATGAACTTCATGTTTTCTTGAGTCAGACCTGAAACTAGAGGCCGAGCCCACTGAAAGAGTTCACTGAGCTCAGAGATGACCATCCGCCTCATTTTCTCACAGACCTCTATACAATCAGATTTCAGAGGAGTCGCCCCCTGCAGGACATCCCTGGTCGTTCACTCACTGCTGTATTTGTGGTTCGTCTGAGTTTCTGATGTTGTTCAGGTAAGACACCACGAAGCTCCTGAGCTGCTCGTCCCTCGTGTTCTCCAAACTGCTGACGATGTCTCTGATGGTCGCTCGGTCCGGGCTCTTCATCAGAATCAGGAAAGCTGCTACACGCTTTTCTACGGGGCTGTGATCGTCCCGGTACACCTCCACGAACACATCTCTGACCTGTGACCAACCACACGGGGAGTGACACATGAATACAATCACGTGTATACTGAACATTTTCAGAGTCAGTATCTGTTCATTTTGAATTTGATGCCAGCCTCACGTTTGAAATGTTCAGGAGTATGTCTGTGGGTACCTGCTGTCCAGGTGTTTGAACTGAGGAGCTGGACTGGTGTGTTCTTGTGTTTGTGGCTCCAGATGTTTCAGTGGTCATGACTGTACTCATGTGCCCCCTGCCATACTAGCAGAGATGCTGCTTTAACCTGTAAGCTGAGAAGCTGTGGTGATTCCTCTCCTCCTCAACCCAGAGGAATTACCACAGCTTCTACTCTGCGCCAGTCCACCTTAAATAAGCTCAGAGGAGGTGGAGGTGCTTCTGGTTCAGTCTGAGCTTCCTGTGTGGATGCAGTGATGAGCTACGTTCATGATGATGATTCTCAGACATTCTCAGATTCAAAATGAGCAGATGAGTCTGACATGTCATTTTTGGACTGTTTCAATCATTCCCAGATCAGTCTGTGTGAGAGATGTGTCCATGTAAGAGAGAGACTTTACCTCATCACTGACGTCCATCCGTCTAAAGGCCTGTATGGCTGCCTTTTGATGTGATAGTGGGACTTCTGCTTTCTTTGCACATCGTAAAATGGACGAGATCAGGCTGGGGCTGACGGCTTGCATGGCCTGACCCATGACCCCAACGACCTGCAGATTAGAAATCAACATTTATGCAGAGGACTGAAGCCCCGAGACAGCTTTCAGCAGAAGAATACATCCATGGATCTAAAACTACATGACACGCTTCACGTACCCTCAGGACAAGGAAGGACATCTCTGCGGGGTCAGGAGGAAGGTCAGAGTCGTAGTGTGGGACTGAGCAGTCGTTTAAGAGCACCTCCATGAACTTTGACACGTCTGTGAGCACATCCGTGACCTCCGGCGTTACCGCGTTTTTATGGATCCTGTGGATGAAAAAGAGTGTGGTCAGCTGCTCAGGTCAGATGATGCGTGATGCTGCAGGCATGACTGAGATGGAAACTGTTATGATCACGGGTGTGCTAAGCAACACCACGCTGTCTGCCCAGTATGGTGACGAGCACGCCCTGTCGGCCGTTTATGGCTGACGACGGTTCCACCTCCGTGACCGATACTTCCTCACGTGTGACACTGAGACATGGGGACCATGGGTCTCCCTCTAGTGGTCACCTGAAGCACTGCATCATAGCTTTACTTACTTCTTCACTGTGTTGGCCAGAGCGTACATGATGGGCTTGCTCTGTTTATACTGAGCCATGCTGAGCATGTCTCGCACACGTGCAGCATCAGGGTCAGCCCGCAGACTCAAGGCGTAGACCAGAGCGTCTGTCTCCAGGGAAACGCCGTCGATGGTCCGGATAATCTGCAGGATGGCGCTGGTGCACTCTGAGGTCCCGCACTGGAACAGGGCCTGCCAGGTGAGCCAGCCTGATGCCGCTCGCATCTCAGGGACCGCCCGGCTCAGGGTCTCGTTCCTCAGGGCGCGCAGGCCGGACACCAGCTTATGGAAAAGCCCCGCCCTTTTTTGACCCTGGTCTGAGCCCGCTAACGTCACCAGCTCCCGTAAGGTGGTCAGAACATCGTCTCCCGTCTGCACTGGAGATTTATCTTCAGGATCTTCAAAGTGAAGGGGCCTCACCTGGTCGCGCTCCACACCTGCACACAGACACATGTGATGTCACTTATTCATTTCCCAGTAAGAGGTGAGTCTCATTTAAAAATGGACGTCAGCAGTGGTTTATAAAACTTTAATGAAGAGACTTAAATTATTTTCCTGCTGGCCATGTAGGGGTGCAGCTGCCTGTTGCACCGACGTGTACGGATGGATGTGGTCACATGACCTCACCCACGTTTCAAACCTTCAGAATTCAGAACTGACAATATTTTGTTGTCCAAATTAAATCCTCAAACTTCACTAAAACTCAATGTCAGACTTCTTGGATGATCTGTTAGTCAGTGACCTCCCAGCAGCCTTATTATTGGTCACATAATGTCATTAAAAGTCCTCAAAAAAGGATCCAACAGCACAAACACGGTCCAGAGGTCCAGTTCAGGTGAAGCTAGCAGACAGCTATAGCCACCTGTGTCACCATCCACCTGTCAGTCAAAGAGGCCACGCCCCAGTAATGCAAACTTTAAGCCTTAAGTCAATTTAAACAGGTGACACGAATCACCTGGGGACACAATAATCCCCAGGTGTGAAACTCCACAGCTGACTGGAAAGCTCACTCACTGAAGTCTCTGTTGCTGGTCCTCCTGTTGCTCTGGAAGCGCAGCTCCTGCGTCAGCTCTGACGACACTGTGCTGTCCCTGCAGAGCAGATTAAAGCTGAGGTGTAACGGCGCCCTGTGCACGCACACAAACATGCAGTCAGGCGGTGACTCACGTGTGGGAGAGCGGCAGGTAGCTGTGGTTTTCTGTGCATGAGGCTGTGGTGATGTGCCTTTCCCTCCGATCAAACTGGTAGCTGCAGCTTTGAGTGCTTGTGATCAGCTTGGATATCGGGCTGTGCTGGAAACACAAACCTGACTTCAGAAAACATGTTTGCACCATTTAAACTCCTTTTTCGTGACTATTGTGACACGGAGGCTGTATTACTGTGACATTACTGTCACGAGGTCTGCGGTCAGCCTCAGCGAGCTCACAGACAGGACAACATTAAGTAGAATAATTACAGGTGATGTTACATCGTTAAGGTGTGTGGAGCTGTCTGAGTGCTTCGTGCATTTGTTTCTGCAGTAATCAGGAAATCAAACTGAGGGTAAAGAAAAGAACAAACTGCTTCTGAGTTCCCACCAGTCTCTGCAGCAGGGCCAGCGGGCTGTTGGTCAGCTCTCTGCTGTAGAACTGGTCACACTGGGACAGATCTCTGACCAGCGTCACACTTGTGGCAACATCACTGCTCGAGTTCACCAGAGTGACGCACTGACCGTGCACGGTGCTCTGAAAAAGGAGAAAACAGCAGAAAAAAGGATAGTAGACAGGTCCTGAGGTCACACAGGTGTGATGTTTACAGAACTTTTATTTTGAAAGGTCGAATGTAAGGCCAAAGGAGGAGATAAAAAAAAAGGAGACAACAGAAAACGGTAGATGAACAAGTTAGCGCTGCAGACTGTGTTGCCGCTGCAAGCCTGAGAATTAAAGAATGGAACTGAGAAATACTGAAGGTGTCATCATTAATGTTTGAGGCATGCAAACATTACAACAGGGATGGGCACAGTGAGCGTGGTCAGGGGCCCAACGGCCGACACCATCACACCATCACACCACAGCCTGAGCACCGATACAGGCTTTACTGCAATTGTAACAGAAATCAGGAAATCGTTTCCCATCTGCTGTTGTCCTGTTTCATGAGTCTGTGTCAGTCGTTGCCTTTGTTTCCTAGTGTGGTCTTCTGCTGCTGGAGTCCATCTGCTTCAAGGCACAGAGATGGTCTTCTCACGAGCTTATTTGAGTTCCTGTTTCCTTCCCGTCAGCTTCCTGCTCGTTCTCCTGTGACATCAACAAGGACTTCCTCCCTGCTGCTCACTGATATTTCCTCTGTAAGCTCAGAGATGGTTGGTGGGAAAACCGCAGCAACACTCAGACCAACAACCTCGCCACAGTCAGTGAAATCACTTTTCTTCCCGATGTTGAAGCTCAGGCCGAACATCAGCAGGTCGTCTTCGTCACGTCTGAATGCAGTGAAGAGGTGTTACCCTGCTGTGACCTTTGCTAATCTTGTGGATACGAACACATAGTTGAAGCAGGAAGTGGGCTTAAAACTCAAAACCTTCATGTTTTCCACTCTTGGTAAGTTTGAATTTCTTTACTGACAGAAAAAAAATCCTGATAAAAGAAATCTTTTTGTTTTTCCTGAAATAAACTATTTCCTGTGACAACACTGATTATGGTTTGGAGTGTTTCAGAGGACGCTCACCGTGCGGCCGCCCTGCTGGTCCTCCGTGTCTGGCACCATGAGAGCAGAAACGATCCCTCTCTTGATGTTGAGGATGCCGATCGCCTCGTCGGCGTCGGGGTAAAGCTGAATGTTGGAGACACCCTGCAGGGTGAACTTCAGAGGGTTCCTGGATGAACAAAGACAGTGAAACCTGATCAGAGGGGGGCGTGTTCAGCCGGTGAAGGTGCTGCTCCTGAACATGCCGCTGCTGTGGACACAAAGGCTCGATCTTTAAAACGTAACACATCGAATGTTTTCTGAGGGGAGCAGAGTGTCGGAGCCTGTCGGGGTCATAAACCAGCCTCACTCGAAAATGTGCTCGCTGCTCCAAAAACCGACATGGCAGCAACATGCCATTTTAATATACAGTCTGTGTTTTTGCACTCACCTTTCCATGGCGGCCTGGAAGGCGTCCGAGCTGGGGGCCGGCCTGAGGGTGCAGCCCCTGGTGTGCATGATGAACTTGCACAGGTGGGGGACCTCGACCTCCACCTGACGAGCGGCGATAGCAGAGCCACGGTCAGAGAGGAACATCGTGTCATCAGGTGAAAAACGGGACGCATAAACAGCTGTTTACCTGACAGGTGAGCTCATGGCCGTCTCTCAGGTCGGCGGCGCCGGTCACGCTGTTCCGGCTCTCTGTGCTGTACCGATACACGTACTTCCTGAAGGCCTTGAATCTGGATGCTGCTGTGGGGGGAGGAGAGGGTCACATGGTCAGGGCTTTGCTCCTTTATGTGAAAAGGCTTCGATGGTTGTCCTCTTGCTGCATCTCAGGATTGGCTTTCCACACCATGACTCAGCAGCTGACCTTTGACCCCGTCGCAGGTGAGAGTGAGCAGCAGCTCTCATTCACAAACAGGACAGGAGTCCACGAGCCGCTATCTCCAGAAAACAGGCCGTGCGTTTATCAGTGCGCCATTGATCTGTTAGCAGGTCGATGTGTGTGTTTGCACACAGTGCACACACTCGACCTTCTCCAGCGAGGAGAAAGTCCACAGTTCTTTAAATGCGTAATATTTTCAGCTCAACCTTAATAAAAATGAATAAAAATGAGTTTGCATGTTTAAGAGTGAGGATGACTTACACTGACAGGCTGCAGTTTGTTGGTCCACGTCCTGCCCGTCCTCTGGAAGAAAACACGATCAACATACTTAACATACTTAACAGTATTGGAGTAATGAGAGCGGCTTCTAGAGGCCAGAAGGACGCGATTATAATAAAACCTTAAAAAAGAGCCAAGATCACACTGACGAATGAAGCGTTCCATTAGAAATAAACATTATACACTCGAATACAAAAATTTGAAATTTAGATTTGTTTGTGTAAAAAGTGATTTTGTTGCGTTTGGCACACATCAGAGAGACAAGTGTTTCCTGTCTCAGATCTGATGGCTCATATTCACACTTTTATAATATGAACAGCATGAAAAGCTGACGCGCCCCAAAGGGGACCCGTGTCTCCGGCTGGAGTCAAACTGACAGATGGACGCGAGCACGACTGCACCGCTGGAAGCACCGAGTTTAAAGTAGGAAAGAAAACAATGAAAGATCCCAGAGATCAGTGAGAGAACAACTTTTTCATCCATGTAGAAAAACGGCTTGAGTGAGACTAACAGAGCGTCCTCGTGTGCGTGCACGAGGACGGGTCGGTACTTACGAGCCCGCGCGCAGCAGCCGAGCAGCAGCAGCAGACACAGCTTCCTGTGACCCATGATGGGCTGCAGGCCTCCTCCACACTGACACAGCAGCACCTCTGCTCAGCGTTTATGAAGACCCTCCTTCTGTCCCGCTCAGAGGTCAAAGTTCAACTCTGTCTGGTCGTTTCATCCCTCAGAATTAAAGTGTAGTCTGTGATCAGCACTGCCCCCCCCCCCAAGAATTCAATCAATCATTTACAGTGATGATGAGACGCAGCAGGTAAAACCACAGAGGTCAGAGTGGTGACATCAGCACGCCGTTTATTTTTTCTTTTATTCATCTTAATTCTAATATATGTACAAGCTGTGACCCCGCCCCCCATTGGTGATAAAACCCAGGTGTGACAGACACAGGTGTCCCATTTAAAAAACCACACTCACTGACTGCCCCTGTTTAACTGTAAATAAAAGATGGACATGGCCGCCATGACTGGAGTTTCCGGCTGTAAACATGAGGTTTAACATGGGACTGACTCACTGCTGCCTCTGCTGGACATGAGAGGAACGGCAGGTTTTACTGTTTCAGCACTGGACGATTATTATTATTATTTGAATTTATTGTCAGACCTGAGCTGGGCTCCTGCTTTAATGTGCCATCACGCTGCTGTGATCTTTGCGTGTGAGCTGAGCTCTCTGGAAGCTGAACGTTACACAATGCTGGACTCACTCATACTCTCGGCAGGTCAGAAGGGGTATCTGAGGTGAATGAGAGGACAGTTTAAAGTACGTATGGATTAAAAAGATAAGACGTTAAAGGGCAGCAGAGTATAGCTGGTCACACCATGTCAGCTCATCAAACAGCTCCCCCCTGACCGTCACAGTTACCTGACAAAATCCAGGTTAAAGATCAATGTATTTCAGCTCCCTGCTGTGTGTTCTGCAGCTCTATATACATATTGACAGAATTAACAGAGAAAAGGTGCTCTTATAAACTATACAAGCCAGTTTTTGCAAAAAGAAATAATAAGGATATACAAACTAAGCCAACTAAACAAAAGACAGGAGGACGTGCAGAGGCAACACGTTCTCACTCCCAACTAGTCAAACGTGTGACGCATGGTCAGGCTCCCTCTGCTTCACTTATGGACGCGCAGGGTACCCCCCTGGCGTCGGGAATTAACGTGAAGGGTCCTCCGATTGAAGAGATTGCCGAAGTGCCTGTTGTTGGTATATTTAGACATTTTCCAAATCACATTGTAGTGACGTATACAGAACACAATAAATTATATAATGTAAACAACTACCTGAAAAACAGGTAGAACTTGATATGGAGTTAGTCCTAATGCCAGCATGATTCTTCATAACTCCTGCTTTGAAATACTGAACTTTAAAATTGACCTGATGAAAGATCATTTACAGTGGCACTCTGTCAGGATCATTCTGACTGTAAGATCACTGTATTAATCTGAATCCTTCTGAAATGTGCTGTGAATGAATGCTGATGCAACTCACTGTGGGAAAGCTGTTAATAAAATGAATCTGTGACACATGCAACACATTCACAGAGGAAGAGGACACAAAGGGAGGACACGCAGAGGCTGTGTTGAAGTCAGAAATCCAAATCTTTATTAAAAAACAGGCGGCGGTAACAAACAGGAAGACAAGCAGTCCATCAAACAGTCTACAGGGTCAAACATACAGAGAATTCAAACAGCAGTAAAAAATAACTGGACACTGAAAAACTTAAAGCAATGTGTGACGCAATAAAAGGAAGCAGCGCAGTATATTCACTGAATTATCATCAATTACAAAAGAGAAAAACGACGATTTCTAAGGATTATTTTCTTAAATGCAGTTAGAGTGTGGCTGGTAAAGATGGAAACATACAGAATGTAAACTGTGTGAGTTTGTGAACTTTGTTAGTAACAAATGAGGTAAAAACCCAAAACAGACAAAACACAGAAAGAGGCTCAGTATTCATTAATAATTAGAAAGAAACATTCTGGTCGTGGATTTTTACAGTCTTAGTTCTGCTCGCTGTCATCATTATAATCATCATGATCAATGGCGAGGTCCTGAGGTGGGCGGGGCTGTCTCTGGTGATGTCACCATGAAGGAACAGCATCTGGCACGTGTTGCTGAAACATCCCAGTACACTGGTGTAGTTTCCTCTCCAGCTGTTGGACATGTGACACTTGAACATTAAGGGGAAGAAGAAGAAACAGTGTTAGGTCAGGTGACCACATGGTTTCTAAAGTAACTGACAGGAAGTAACCAGGCCGTTAGAAATGGATGGCATGTGTTTAGAGTTACTGGAGTTGGGTAACTCTACTTACCAAAAGCAGAAGCACACAGATGAAGGATCAGATGCTGAATGTTGCAGGAACATGCTCATGTGTGGTGGTCATTCAGTGCTGCTCCGGCAGGTTAGACAGTCCAAGACTGATATGCTGCCCATCTGAGAGTTTGAAAACACACATGCAAAGATTTATTTTGTGTTACAGTCAAAGTTGGATGTTCATTTTTGTCCTTTAAAAATGTTTGTGTATTTGAAAGCACTAACATTTAAGGATGACTTGGATCGTCTCCTTTAAAGGGGAGACAAGTGTATCCACTGATCCACGTCACTTTACCTGGATGATGACTCCTCCCCCCTCACTCAGAAACACTCCTAATATAACCAAGCAAATTTTCTGTAAGAGCGTACGTAGGCTGCCATGACAGACCACTACTTCCGTTGTCCGGTTTTATACTTCCGGTTACTCAAAGCGAGACCCAGCGTTCAGTCGTTGCTAACAACAAAATCAGTTACTTTGTGCGGTAATAAGTGGCTTTACCTGTTCGAAGATGAGCTCGGGTTCAACGTGTGCTGTCGTCGGCTGCCACAATAATTCAAGAAAACTGAAAAACGCATTAGAAACATTTTGCCTTGAGCATCAACAACTTAGAAAGGCCTGTCCGTGCCCACCGCCCTACGCACTGCACTCTATGCCGCGGAAGGAGGATCGGAAACTAGCGTGGCTGGCAGCTTTAAGACTCAAACACCCTCCAAAGAGAGTTTATGTTTGCTCCTTTCATTTTATCGATAAAAAGCCCACAGAGCTACACCCCGACCCGGAGCTTTATCTGGGCTATGACCGACCCCCACCGAAGAAAAGAAGAAAGCTCACTCGGACCACTTTGAGTGTGACAGCTTCCAGTAATACGAACAAAAACACAGAATCTGTACCCGGTAAGTGAAAGTGTAAATGTGGTTTGCCACCGTTTCGCATTTTAAACACGCAATTCTTTAATTTTACTAAATAATAGCCTATGGTGAATGGCGTTCGTATCAGCACTAGCTGGTTATTAGCAGCAAAGTCAATCACAGCCTTTGACCAGTCCAGTGTTTCTGTTTCAGTGATTTAAACATTGTGATATCCAGATAAGTGATATACCTTCCACAGAATAGCAGCCGCATGACTACATGATCTCCCTAATCCGGCGATACAGGAACAGCCGACTGTCTCCACTACTCCACTTTCTCTTAGCATTGCCCATGCTAAGTGTTTCGCTTGATTAATACTCTGGCTCGGCTCTACAGCTGCTTTAAGAAAAATAAAGTCGTCTTGTTTGTTGAGCAGTACTTTATCAATTTTGTTGCTGTGCAGGTAATTATACGCCTCGGTGCTCTTGTAATTACGTAATTCCTCGCCATCAACGCCTTCGGAAAATACAAGGTAATTAATAATGTCGATGTAGCTAACATCGGGCCATAGTTTCATGTCATCTACCCACTCTGTGAGAAGTGACGGGTGAGGCACTGCAACTGAACTGTCCTCGCTGCTTTTTAAAACATCTCTACTGTGTATCCACCTTCGATGTGTTGCCATTTACTCCAGGTAAAAGAAACTGCAGTGAGAGAAATCTTTATCAACAGTGAAGGTGTAACCCCGCAATGATTTTTCTTATTTTTTATGCGGGCTTTGCCTCTTTTTTTTTTTTTTTTTTTTTTTTTTTTTTTTTTTTTTTTTTTTTTTTTTAGTATTTTATTTGTTCCTGAGTGTAACCCCGCAACTGTCAACAACAGCGCAAGCGGAAGTAAAACACCGGCTTCCGCTATGAATCGGGGTAATGGCGCGAAATCAGAAATACTGTGGATAACCAAGCAAATAAATAATATTGAAGATTTACTTACATCATTACAAAAACAGCAAAAACATCTCCCTTTGATTCTATTTCTCCATTCCTGCTGAACATCAGGCAACAAATATCTCAATAAATCACAGTAAAATGTAAAGCACATGTTTTCTCTGCTTTGTCTAACCTCTGCAGAGCCTCTGTCAAGAAAAACACATCTGTAAGCATAAAACAAATATACATTTCATAACACGTCACTGGACAAACCTCGGTCAGCTGATTTCCTCTGTGCAGTGCAGACGAGCATCAGTCAGCGAGTCACGGTGGTGAGATGGACTGGTGTCCTTTGTGACTCTGCTGGTTCTTCTGAGGAAACACCACCGTCTCTCCACACCGTCACCATCTGTGAGCACAAACTGCTGCTCTGCTCTGCCAGCATGTAGGAATCACATATCACACACACAGGGGTGAAGAAACATCAGAGCTCAACTTTGGATACTTTAGATCCAAACAGATCAAAGCAGCTCTTAGTTTCAACAATCAGTGAGCAGACAAACAATGATACCAAACTGATTCTGTATGAATACAATATGGTATTTTCAATACAGCTGTCAAATTAATTTATTAAAACTAATACAGATATATGTATATTTTTTTGATAAATTAGTTTGCTAAATTATAAGAATATATATTTTTTTTCATTTAACAATTGCAACTGAAAGAAATTAAATATTGAACAAAAATATATTGTCACATTCTGAGCATGCTCAGCACGCTGACAGACTTGAAGTTGCTACAGATTTTAAGAAGTGATAATTATAGGGAAGAAACTTCTCTTTTTCATCCGTTTAATCAAACATTTGATGCCTCAGCTGTCTCAGTCTATAGCGTTCTGCAACTACAACTAACCTGAGGCTTGGATTTGGCTGCAGGTGCCCCTGTACATCCTTCTCAGCAGCACACATGTGGGTACCATTTAATCCCACTTCTTCCTGAGCTTTGCTTCATCACAAGACCAAAGGTGGCATCCCGTGTCACAGTCTTATCATCATCCAGAAGAAACATTTGAAGAAACATCATGGAGAAGAAACATTTACGCGCCTCCTGGTTTTGTTTTCTGATCCTGCAAAAAGACTGAGGACAACAAAGCCCAGAGAACACGAGATACACAACATCCAACATTCAGACTCAACAGCCTCCATAAATGAAGAGCACCAGGTTGGTTCAGTTATAGTAGATATAAGCATACTTCACATTACTGGGTATGAATAATAATGAGGAGGCAAACTTTGAAGATGCAGAGCATGATGTCCCATCATCAGACTGTAAACAAACATCCACCAGGCTTCTTTGTTGCCAAAATTGATGATTCTCCCATCAGGGATCAGTAGAGTGTATTAACCTGTGGTATAAGCAGCAGTCACTGAAATATTACTGTTTCAGATAAGAAATCTAGCACATAAAAGCCAGGGTGGTAGGGATCTCTGCAAACTGACTTACCTCTGCAAGTGTGAAGCTCAACAAAAATCTGACTCTCCAGTCACAGACAAACAAAAAACTCCAGCTGGGAGATAGAAAACGCTGTCTGGGTCTTGCTGGATGTTGCTGGTCAGAGTCCCACATTAGCAGAGTGCTTCTTGGTCCCACTGACCCATGTGGACAGCGACTGTGGAGAACTGTTCTGGAAAACAGAGAAGAGAATTAAAATAACAAAAAGCCAAACAGGATTTCCACAAAGACTCTCTTGGAATCAGCAATCAAAAATCACTGGTTCATATTAAATATGAACAGGTTCCTTAAATGTACGCAGTTCAGATCTGTTTTAATTTAATTTCCTTCACACAGCACATTCGTCCAGGCTGACAGGTAAACATAGAATTAATCTCAGGTAACATGACTCATAGTAGAGATTCAGTAAGAAAGATTGCAGGCTCTAATATTATTACCACACAATCCAAGGACACACCAACAGCTCAGATTTGTAGAACTATTTAAACAAATGTCTTCTGAATATTCAATTCATGTTCACAGTGGGAGGGGGGGGGTGTCGTGGAATTTTTTAAATAAAGTCTGCAACACAGAAAGAGCTGTGATCAAGCTATTTATTACTGCGCCAACACACATCAAACATCACAGTTCAGTCATGTCAGCGCTGCCACAGAAGTGGTGCTCCTCCTCCTTTATGCATTCCAAGGAAGAGGGAGGAAGTTACAAACTGATCCTACCACACTTCAACGGATCAATGGTTATGCTGTTTTGTGCCCTTGGCCTTATCAGCACCTGTAAAGGGAGTTGTTTTCTCAAACTGCTGACGCTGAAGTAAGTTCATCTAGTTTTAGAAACTTTCACTGAACAGTAACAGTGTCACAACTAAGCATATGCATAAGCACTTAAATACTTTAAATGAGAATAACAGAACATTTCTATTACAGAGGCTAGAGCCTGTCCCAGTAGTCATAGGTAGAGCACACCTGGACAGGTCACCAGTCTGTCAGAGGACTAACACAGAGACAGACATCAGAGTAACAAATCTATTTAAAATTAATGTAAGTTTGCTGCAGCTGTATGTATGAACATGTGTTTCTGTGCTCACAGTCCACCTCTCAGGAACCTGCAGTTCACTTTTAGTCAACTTTAAACAGACCTCACAAAAGGCTGATGTGGCTGGATCAGTAGTCTGATTTAAGTACGATACCTTTGGCCAGGGATTAATCTGGTGCATCGCTTCACTGCAGTCTTACGTATTTTCCCCACACCTGAATAAAAAATACTGATATATACAAATAACAGCTTCAGCTGATGCAGCCTGACTCAATCCTAAATGTTCAGCACACAGAGACACAGAGGTGCCGTTTAAAGTTTAGTGTTAACCTGAGTCACTGATCATTTGCAGTATTACAGAGTCTGGCAGTCTTTGCATGATGTCCACGTCACTGTAAGTTTCTAGCTGACTCTCAGGTGTGACAGGTGTGCCAGCAGGAAAGAGTAATAATAACCTGCATCCTGAGGTTTGTCATGCAGGATTAAAGGAGCCAGGCTTTGTTCACACAGCTAGGATTGTATTTTACACTGACCCTGGGTCAGTATAAGTATCATACAGTTTAAACGAAGCACTGAAACTTGCACATATTTATTAGATGCACTGAAGCTAATCGAGATATTTGCTGTCAATCTGTGGCTGCGATTAAACACTTTACTGGAAACTTTATTAACTAGTAACTTCATCAGTCATGACAGAAGCTAATATTTCTGTCCTAACATCGTTTAAACAGTAACAGCTTTACTACAATATCTAACGTTTGTTCAGTGATGACACGACGAATCCTACTTCCGGGTCTAAAGTAGTCTGCGTTTAATATGGCTTTTGTGTTGTTAACATGTTTAATGTTATGTATTTTCTTCTATTTGATCTCAAAAAGCTCCTAAAACAGTCAGTGATCACTGTTGACCTCCCTCGGCTTTTATTACCACTAATCATTTATTTAAGCTCAGTTTTTAAAACCTTAGGATGTAACTACAGCCCAGCCCATGCAGCAGTATATGAATGACTAACCTCGTATTGTGGATGGATTATCTCAGTTGTTCTCCTGGCTGAAGTTTGGTCCTTTTACAGCATCCTGCCATGCGATTACATTTGTTCCTGACCACCGAGAACACTCACGTTAACTTTTATCGAGTGGAAAAAAAGTTAGCTTGTTTATATTATGCTAACATAGCTGTGTCGCTAGCGGTCACGTAGCACATCATTATATACCAGCTAGCCAAACTTCAGTAACCCTACAAACGTCACTGCTGTTTAGTTTTCTGTCTTCATTTATGTTGGAAGTGATAACAGAGCTGTACGTTTGAATTTGTTTCCAAAACCCCGCAGTCAGGACATGCTATATTGTATTTAGATAGAAGCTAGCGAGCTAACTCCCTGCTAACTTCTAACTCCGTTAAATGTCATAAATTCCGTTTTCATGGATGCCTGGATGTTAAACTCAATTGTTACACCTGGTAGAGCAGAACGCTGATCATTTTATTAAAGATGAAAGACTTTAGACAGTTTTTCAACTCTCAGTAATGCCATAGTGATCGTTTGATATATGGACCTGCAGCAGAGTTTAGGCCCAGACACGGCTAGTGACGTCAGACTGAACAACGATATAAGCTAACGTTTACACCGTAACTTTAAGCTAGCACCATAAAGACGGTAAAACACGTAATAATATCTACAAATGCATCTTAAAGCTGTTATATTAGCACTCTGTGTATTACTAACATAACCACATTAACATTACTGACACTCGCTGACTTTTAATAGTCATTCTATAAATGCTGTCCGTTTAAATGGTCTTACCTGTACACACTGCATATCCACCGGATTCCAGCCAGAGTGGATTCTGGAGTCTTCCACGCTCCTGTTAGTGATCCTCCATCTGGATGGATGAGAACAACCTTCTGAACAATCTAGCAGGAGATGGCCCATATCTATGGGACTGATTTGTGCTAATAACGCCCATTGTATGGACTGATAACAGCCGAAGCGGGTGAATAAAGTCACCCAGTAGCTAGCTGTGCCATTACCCAGCATACATCACTCCCTCCATAAATGCAATAAACGATACAAAAGTATG